AATATTTGAAGAACTCTAAAAATGTACAAGTCAATACAACTTTATTAAATTATACATACATTGGCATGTGATTATATATATATATATATATATATATATATATATATATATATACACACACACACACGCACATTTTATTTAAGCACAATTACAATATTGCTATAAATTGTTATTTAAGATCAAAGGTTAGTATAAATATTTTTAAATAATGGTATCTAGATGATTACAATGACAATTTATCATAAAAATAAAAGTTCTCAAAACAATTATTTAGTTATATTGGAATGTAAAAACTGCAAATTCAATTTAAAGCAAATTCGTCTTTGTTTCAGTTGGACATAATCACAAAAAAAATCAAATATTATGGAAAGATAAAAAAAAAAGTAAACATAATATGTATAAGAACATATTAATAATAATGACAAATAAATACTCATATAAATAAATAATGATTTTAAAATATTTCAAAACATTAACAACATTTATTATTACTTTGTAAATTCACTCTTTGTTATTAATATTATTTAAATTTCGAACAACAGTGAATTTCAACATTAAAAGATCACAATTCAACTTCTTAATACTTTTCATAAAGCTTTATGTACACCATCTATTGACTATATTCAAGAAAACATACTTCAATATTCAATCAATGATCACATAGTCAATCGTGTAAAAATACTGATGCATTATTTGTCTTTGGAAATGAAAGCATTTAACGAAATACAAATTTTTTGAAATAATTCATGAAGTTTACAAAATCTTATAATATTCAATGTTTAGATTAATATAACAGCTATTGATTTTTTTTCTTATAAATATTTATATATATACATAGAAGTTTGACTAGAATTTTAATATTTTGTATTATTTAAATGAGGTATTTTCCTATAAAAGATGTGATATTCAAGCTTACATGGATGTATTGTATACATACATAAGTAAAAACGACTGGCCTGGATGATTAGATTAATTTAATTGAAAGAAAAACTATTTAGTCGTTTAGAAGTGATTATCATTTAACCAATTAATTTAAATCTAAAATATAACAATGTAATTTTTCTAAGTGGACGGTTACAAATTTATAGACAAAATATTGATTACTTGTAAATAACAGCTATTGTATCACAGAGATAGTTGATGGTCAATTTTCTGCACCTAGCTTATCTCTGCCTATATAATCATGTGAATTTTTTTATGTACTTAATTACATTTGTAATTTACATACTTTAACATTAATTTTATATATAAATAATTAGAATTAATTTATTTTTTGAAGGAAAAAACAATTGTTTTTTTCATAATCATAAATTTAGATCAAACATATACTTTTTAAAAAAAAGGGTCATAAGAAAACAACTTAAAAAAAGGTTTGATACAAATTCTTTTACTGTGAAACTATATCTCGCGTTGAGTGGAACAGTATATTTTAGCAATAAAACCATTGATGAACTGTTTTATAGTTGATGAATGAAAGTTTAAATTAACTTAATTCAACTGATACTAGAACCTATACTGCTCGAACTGCCATATACCAAACATCTGTAAAAGTCAATTTTTCCTGAGCCCATCATTAATGAACACAAAAATAAAACCGAGCATTGGATACAATTTCCAACATATTTGATTATGTAACATAACAAGAAGTCTGTGTTCAGGCAATTAGTGATGCATTGATAACGGTTATTTAAGATAAACTAAATCCAAAAAAAAAAATATCTTTAGAAAGTGCAATTGTTTTGGATGTCCAATGATCTAAATATTAAAACTTGTTTCTGAAAACTAGATTAAACAACTTAAACTGAAAAGGATGATACAATATTTTACTACTAACATTTCGACTCTTGACTTTCACAGACAATGATTTTTTCAGAGGGAAGTACTAAGCAAATGCTCAAAGTAAGCAGTGACCTGAAGAAGTTTTGAGGATTGTAGAAAGTCGATAGACAGGTGATATAAAAAAAATCTAATTAAAATTTAGTTGTAATCATTTTTAAGGGCTACTACACAGATGTGTAAGTCAATGATGAAAATTTACAATTTTGTAAAATATAAAAAATTCTATAAATAATTTTTTTTCCGCAAAAATCAAGTTCAATAACATAGGTTCAACTATTCTTGTATTATACAAAAACCATGTTTCAATTATTTTATTTATTCAACCATAAAATTTTAAATTATTTTTCATTTATGAGAATTTCCAATCACTAAACATAAATAAAAAATGCTGAAGGAATGCTGATGATTATATATATAATGACAGAACTTAATCAAAATCAAAACAAATACTACAGTCTTTGATTTTGATGTTACAATATTTTTATACCATGCTTTCAATGAACAGAAATAGCAGAATGTTTAAATGAATATTCGGTAGATTGATATCATACAAGCTAGTTCAATGTATATATATTTAATTATATATATATTTTTTTTGTTAGGATAAGATTAATAGAATAATCTGTACTTTGGAGAAAAGAACCAATAGAAAATTAAAGTGAGTTAAACATACTAGGCAAGACTTTTGTTTACATACCTTAGATATTAATTTAATTCTAAATCTTTCATGAATTGAGTAAATACACCTACGAATATATTAGCAATGAAAATTATTTGTAAAAAATTTATAAGATTATAATAAACAGAAATACTGGCAACAGTGATATCATGTTATGTTGGTTTAAATAATCTTAAAAGCCTAATAAATTATTCTAATAATAAAATAAATAATTCAAATAAAGATTTCTATCATTAATGAAAAATATACACACTATTGTTTTTGTTTTTTTAATTTTATAGAAAATAGTTGAACAACATTAAAAATAATAGCAAGGTATTCTTAAGCTAACAGAAAAATGCAACATATTACAGAATTATAAATTAATACTTGCAATCTCTAAACATTAATAGATAAATAGTAATCAAAATGGGTTATTAAAAAAATATCAGTATCAATACAAACAACAGATCTCGTTAAATATGAAATACCTTTCTTAGAAAGTAAATAGTTGAGTAGTAATTTCTCAATACTTCATACTTACAAACCTAAATTCAGGATCATTCACTTCTTTGGCACCTTATAATTGTGCAAAAGTTCTCAATGATCAACAGTAGTTAATAGGAGACAGCTGTTTTTCATATGGAAAAGAAACTTGTGCATCATGTATGTATGTATGTAATGTATGTATATATGTATATGTATACATATATACATATATATATATACACACACACATATTTATATCACACACACCTACACGCACATATAAAACAATAAATTAAAAATCATTGATATTACATCGGAGTGTATTCAGATACTTCAATAAATAGTTTACCTGCGAGATACAATAATATGAATTGGTAAACTAAATAATAAGTTCTCATCTATCTTATATACTAAAATAATTTTATTGCTGCAAGGTACATGAATACTAGCACTATTTTCAAAGTTTAAAATAATATTGATAGTGAAATTAATACAAAATTTGAAGACAATTCAGGGGATTTTAAATTTATATTAGATAAAATGTTTGATCTTTTAATACAATATTTAAAATGAAAAATATATTATTAACAATTTAAAATAAAACATATGCACAATACCAATGACAGCAATATTTTAAGGATTGTAAGAAAAAAATTAAAATTAATCTTATAATTTGCTTTAGAGAGAAATCCAGATTTCATGATTTATAATCAAATAGAAAAAAAATATATAAGATCCGTTGGCCTTCATCAAGAATATAATAAATTAATTTAAATTAAGATATCCACTCAAAAATTGAACATTGCAATTTAAAAACATAATCGTCATACTAATAATTATTTAAGAATTCTTTTAAAATTTAATAAGCTCTAAATAAAATTAAATAATTGATACATTTACAGAAATGAGAACTATAATTTTAATTTTGTTTAAAATTTTTATTTGAAAATACTAGTAACTTTTTTAAAGCAGTATCTATTACAAAGTCAAAAATTAAATTATTAAGTATCAGTTACTGTCACATGATATAAAATAAATTAAAAAAAAAAAAACTAATATTTTACTTAAAACGAAAATTAACCATAAAATATTTTAGATAATTGGACTCTAAATTATAAATCATTAAACGCTCATGATAATTGTTTAGTTCTTCATTAAAATAGAAAAATAAACACATCAAACCTAAGATCTTATGTAAAAGGAATGTTTCGAAAAGACAAACAAATAGTATGATATAGATTATCACCCCAAGGTTAAATAATAAAACTTTATTCAGGGCTCAAATTGGGCAGTTAGATTAACATGCTTGAAACTAACATAAAATGTTTAATACAATAAGTTAAAAGTTAATATTTTGGCAGCAAATATAACAGATATATAAAACTTAGACCGTTTGGAATGTTATTGGAAGAACAAAGTACAAAGTATTAGAAAAATGAGTAATTTCAATTAGAGTAAGTATTTACAGATTTTAGACTTTAAAAATTAAAATCTATAAGATTTATTATTTTTTTCTGTAATCATAGAAGTTGAAAAAAATAAATAAATAATTTTGCAAATGCTACTAAATATATATATATTTTTTTTGTTTGAAATCATCCAAGTTAGTGAAGTACTGAAATACTATTTTAAATCAGAATTTCAAGTATTTAAAAATTTTGGGTTTTCTTAATTTAACATTTATATCAGTAACTTATTAACCTACAAACATTATACTTTTAACCATTAAGACAATAAAAAAAAATGGTAACCATCTAACACATGGACATAATTAAAATGAATAAATAAGACGCTGTATATAATGAGTATCCTTAGATATGATTGTTATTTTAATATGTATAAATAAACTGGTAATAAAAATCAGTAGAACAAAAATATTTGTAAAAAGTTAATGATACATCAGAAGTTATGAAATAAGTTAATAATGAAAGACATGAGGGAATGGTTTCATAGAAATATTATAGTTTCAGAGATATTTAAAAAAGAGTTTACTTAAATCTACCAGGCTATTTACTTCAGATCAATGGTTTGATGGAAAGGAGAAGCCAGTTCAACAATAGGGGTGTTTTCTTCTTGGGGTGTGTGATCCATGACAAGAATTCTGATTTTGTTATCAAGGCTGGATGGAGGCCTTACAATATCACCATTATCATATGGAACATATATCCTAAGAACATCAGGTGTAGGTGTTGGAGGTCCTCCTGAATCTGTATCCAAGCTTTGAGTATCCGCTCCTTGAGATCGTGGAGCTGAGCTAAACACAGATAGATCTGCGGTAGATGTAATACTTGTCTCAGCTAATGATCTCCGAGAACCATCACCAATTAATGAACTACCATCATCCATGCTCTGTTCAAGAGAGAATTTTGAACCTGTAACAATGTTATTGCAATTAATGCTTTCCTATTATTAATTATTGATAACAAACTTGAAAGAGAGAAAGACTTTTGTGTGATAAGATGGTATAACACTCTTTTCTTATAGAAAAATTAATAAAAACTAAATGAAAAAAAAAATATATATATAAAATTTCCCACTGGAATTAGATACCTTTGAACTGTTTGAAGGGCTCTTATTCTTCTCATCAAAGTTATCTTATTTAAAATCATAGGTGAGTTAATAATTGTAAACAATAGAGAAACAACAATTGTACTGAACATCTTTCCAAGTATGAACCAATGAAAACACAGTTATGTTTAAGGCTTAAAACTTCAGGTATTAAAAATAAGGTTTTGTCATTTTTTTTTTAACAATTTACACCCAACTATAAGGATGGTTAACAAATTATAAGATGTATAGATGCACATTACTATAATCATTGTTTATTATTCTCAATTTTAAATTTATAAATATGTTAGTCTTATCTTCATGATCAAAAGTCATATAAGTTTCAATACCTTAACTTTGAACATTGATTAACACTAAACACTCCAAATTGAAAACTTTTAGGTTTGGTTATGTCAACAGTAACAGAACATTTATTATTGCAGAGTACAAAATAATTTCTAACATTGATAGCTAGTAGGTATATTTTATATTGTATTCAATACCAACTTTAAAGATTGACCCTGGTGTTGGGAGACTTTCCTGGGACAGGCTCAGCCTCTATAAACTGGGCATCATTATTAATTAATTTATTAAGGGAAACAATGTAGAGCGTAATCATGATCAAATCAACTCCTAGCAAAACCTTTAGCGTAGAAACAGTACTTCCTTAGAAATTACAGAATCTAAGACCTTTATTTAATTATTAATGGTATAGGTTTTAATATTTATTTATGTACAACAGTGTAGGAAGGATTATTACAAAGCCTCCATATTATTTAATGTGACCATCCAATTAAAAAAACAGTTATTTTTTCTTTTATAATTTTCTTTTTACTGGGAAGTTGTATGATATTCTTTGTTATATGGCAATGATTACTTCCAATTAACCACAATTGAATTTATTTGTTGTATTATCAAATTGCATGTTTACAAATTAACGTTTCGGGATATTTACTCCCATCTTCAGAACCACAATCCCAATGATCTTGTGGATAATTAAATTTAAGCCATGTATCTAAAAGATCATTGGGATTGTGATTCTGAAAATGTGAGTAAATATCCCGAAACGTTAACTTATAAACATGCAATTTGGTAATACAACAAATTAATTCAATTGTTGTTAATTGGAAGTAATCATTGCCATATAACAAAAAAATGTATTTTTATTATAATAGACACTAGACTCATTATCTTCAAACTTGCATATTATTCTTTAAAATATTAAATCTGATTTGTTTTCTAAAAATTATCATATTTTATATATTAGTCAATGAAATAAATATATTATTTATATTAATTATCATATTGTAGTTAAAAGTCAATAAAATAAATATATTATTAATCCTTTATTTTACCTTGTGAAAAAAATACACACTGATGGCTTAGAAAATTCTATTGCCTAGAAACCGTTCTTAATATTCTCTGAAAGTATTAGCTGAAAAACAAAAGATTTTTAATTTCCAATTTTAAACATTGGTAAGGGAACAAGACCTGCAAGTGTTAGTTTTTGCCAAATAACCAGAATCCATTTATTCTTCTATAGCGAACTCCCTATCCTAGTTACCAGAATAAAATCCAAGGATGGGGACAGAGGAAAACTTATGCAACTGAATTCAGTCATAACCAAAGACGAATTGTATGACCATACAGCATTCATTATCGGCAATACAACAAACAGCAATTTCCAGACACCTGTCTGCATTAAGCAACAGTTTTGCAGGCAACATCATTGGAAATAAACACTTCAATCATTAGTAGCCTGAGTTCTTTTCTTAGCAAGGCCCATTGTTTCAGAAGCAGAACTTCTACTTGGCCTAATTGCTTAGCCTTCCAAATAATGCCAGCCAGTGCTTTCCCTCCAATCCTTGGTTATCCTGCAATACACCCATAAATCTCCTTTTACTGATTTTTAGGAGATATCTAACCTAGTGAAGATCCTGGAGGTAAAAATTCAAACTTTTTGAAGTTAGCTCACCAGTTTTATCATTAATTACACTCCTTTGTGACGAGGAACCAATTTTCAGAGGAAATGGAAACCCTGTAGCACATTTATAATCTTTAACTAACTTGTAGGGTTATTAATTTGATAAAATTAATAATTTATTTAATGGGACCTAATTATGGCGGAATAATCTATTTATTTATTTTGATATTACAATATTTTCTATATCTATTGAGAAATAAATATAGGCATAAAGAATCAAATGGTAAATGATTTTACAGATGACTTATTTGAATAAATAAACTTCCTTAAAATTTATACACATTTACTGTAGGTGTACGTATTTCAAAGATAATTCCAATTTTCTAAAGGATGAAACAAGTTGATAACTACTGAAATAATTAAATACCTGTTCACAATCAAATAAGCCAAGACTGGCTTATGTTTTTGGCTTAATTCAAAGCTCTTTTTAAAGCTTTTTTTCAGAATAAACTTTTAATTCCATTGGGTATTAGCTTTCTAATTTAAAAAATATATTAATTAAGATAATTACTTTTTAGTCAGTTGTTTTTTAATTTAAAACAAATATGTCTCAACTGCAAATATGTTTAGTAGCTAGTCTGCTAATCAGGTAATAATATTAAGCGAATTTCCACTCAGAAAATTAAGTTTCCTTTAGACGGATTCAAGTTACCAGAAATTCATTTTACATCTAGCAGCTGCTTGTAGCATGCACAGATATTTTCTTACCTGGAACTAAGCAAAATGGCTTGTTTAAAATAAAAATAAATTAATTGAGGACAAATGGACTATCTATGAAGGCCAATAAATATTGGGTTGTCAGAAAAATAATGCAGAGTTTTGAATTTTCTTTCAAATATCCCTTTATAGAACAAACTGTGTATGTTTAATGGATTATTTATTTGTATGAATGTCAACACTTATTAATCCTCTTCCAAATCATAATGTTTGTTTACCTCTGTAACTTTTCGCTGCTTAGAAATAATTCAGTCTTTACTAAGAAATACGTGATTTTCGTATAATTTTGTTTTATGAGTTTAAACTCGGCCGGAATGGGACCCAGACGGCCAGATACATCAATCGAGTCTGGGGCTAGAGCAGCATTAATGAGTACACTGTTTAATGGTGGTTCAAAAAATTTTGGGAGGGAGACTTCAGCCTTGAAGACAAAGAAGGTCATGGATGAACTTCTCCTCTTGATCTGCAGGCTTTGGTGGAAGAAAACCCCTGATCAACTGTCCAAGAACTTGTAGGGAAACTTAATCTTAGCAAATCGACCATCGATGACCACCTAGGGACGATTGGAAAAGTAAAAATGCTTGAATGTTGGGTTCCATACACATTAAATGACCACCAAAAAATCAGCGTTATGAAGTATGTGCTACACTTGTTTGCTGAAACAAAAACAACCCTTTTCTGTCTAATATTGTTACTTGTGATGAAAAGTAGATACTTTATGATAACAGTAGACGTTATGGACAGTGATTCGAATCTGAAAGGAGAAGCAAAACATTTTCCACAGCCCCCAATCATCAAAAAAAGTTAATGGTTACTGTTTAGTGGGCTTCTTTTTGGTTTGATACACTACAGCTTCTTAAATTCTGGAGAAACCATCAATGCTGAATCGTTTTGTAACCAAATTAATGCAATGCATCAGAAATTGGCAATAATGAAGCCATCTTTGGTGAATCAGAAGAGGCCCATTTTTTTGCATGAAAATGCTCAGCCACATGTCTCATGTGTGACAGCACGAAAACTGTTGGAGCTCGGATATGAAACTCTGTCACATCCACCGTACTCTTCGGACCTCTCGCCTACAGATTATAATTTTTTTAGATACCTGGACCACTACTTAAATGATACAAATTTAATGGATACAGAGAAATAGAAAATGCATTTTTGAAGTTTATCAATTCTAAAGATGGGAAATTTTATTCCGAAGGAATAGAAAAGTTGCCAATACGTTGGCAGAAATGTATTGATAAGAGTGGAGACTATTTTGATTAAATAAAACAGTTGTAAATCTTTCTTTTTTACTTTTTAAACCAAAATCCTGCATTATTTTCCGAACAACCCAATACAAATATATTTCTTAGTTTGTAAAGGAGAATAATGTTAACTTTCATTTAACTTTAAAGTGCACTCAGTGGACATACCCAATTTTCTAATCTTTATGATGCTCATATGGTAAACAGTGAGAGGCTTGCGCGTTTTTTAAAAATCATTTTATAGATAAAATATATCTTAAAAGTTGCCAAGAATAATTGCATTACTTTCCAGATTTTTTTTCTTAAAGTTCAACTAGTTTTGTAAAAACTGAACATAAATTAACGTTATTCATTATTACCCAACACACTGATGTTTGGTAAAACATGCTTAATCATTATTTCTATTTAATTTTTTTTTTCTCTTTAACTCTTTTCATTCAGCTGCTAGCTACAAACAGTTTAGGTCTAGATGCGTCCGTGATTAATATTGATCTATTTTAAACTTAACCAGTTTGTAATAATTGAAAAAAGAATTCTTTATTATTTGGCAATAATTACTTCCAATTAACAACAATTGAATTTATTTGTTGTATTATCAAAATTGCCTGTTTACAAGTTTACGTTCCTGGATATTTACTCCCATCTTCAGAACCATAATTTCAATGATCTTGTGGATACATGTCTTAAATCTAATATGCTCCATCGTCAGTTTTATTTCATGTTACAATAAATCTAGGTATATAAAATCTAGAGCAACATCTTGCTTTTAGACTATGGAAGACACCCAATAATTAGTCTAAGATGTTGCTCTAGATGTTATATACCTGGATTTATTGTAACATGGAATAGAAACTGGTGATGGAGCATATTAGGT